CACTCTACCGACTGCTGCAGTGCAGGTGGTCCACTTTACGACGTTTCTATAACGACATGAATGGATCTATTTGCGACGAGCTTTCGACAGGGCAGAGGCCGCGCCGCCCTGGAACTGGTTTCCAGTGATGTTACGGGTATGGTCCTGCTACTCGCACCCAAGTAGTAGTTCCGTGGTTTGGCCGCTGCTTCAGCTCACAGGAGAAGCGCCTCAGCGGTTAGTGACAGTCCACGTGGAATTACATGCGGGAAAACGGCACTGAGGCGCGTTCTTCTCCAGGTACTTCGATTTCCCCTACCAGGTATCATCACTCCACCAATGTTCCATACTCATCTAGCACAAGACTCCCATCTGATATTGCAGTACCAAGCACCCTACAACCCCCTACAACACATTACATTTGAGATTTTCATGTCGGCGAATGTCAACCCGAGGTCGTATGGGACGTGACGAGATACAATTTGGTAAATACGTGCCCATGTTTCGGAGGGAACTGCTTCTTCCATCTTCAGGGACCACATTTTTCGCTTCTTTGAACCTGGTTCGTTGCCCCTGGCCAGTAACGTAACACTGTTACGGGATTGGGATGCGTCGCGTGTCCGTCCAATCAGATGTGGACGCGCAATGAGAGGTTGTTGATCTGACACGTGAATCACTGCATTAGCAGGCGCGACTGCGACTGTTGCAGTGCCCTACAGCTTGGCCTAATTCTGTGCAGCGCACCGCGCTACAAATAGTTGCCACTCTGATGCAACTTCTGAGGCGGCCAGGCGAGACACACACACACACACACCCGAACGCACTCTCGTTCACAGCAAAGTGCACCTGACGGACGCCCTACTTCACCCGCTCGGCGGCCCCGGTTCGATCCCAAGTCAGGCTAAAGCGGCACTGGGGCAGGGTTTCTCCGCCTACTTCTGCCTCCCCCGCCAACTGACGCCCTACATACTGCTCCACACTCATCCAATATCCGGGCTCGTACAAGGGGCCCACCCCAACGCACTTACTCAAATGTGCTGAGAAGGTCTTATCCTCTTAAGCAAAATTATTACCCTACTTTCCTGAGCTTCAACAAATAAAAGGAGGCTTATGAATCACCTTGCTGTCTATGAATCCCACCCCCACCACCAACTTTGAATGCCTGAAACCAGTCTTCATGGAACTGGGTATGTATATCATGGCACCTGAGCCCATCTCAAAGGCTTACTTCATAAATCTCTCCCATCAGTCTGTGTCTGTATGCGTATCTCTCCTATCGCTGCTAGGCAACGGCTCGGTAAAAACGTTAGCATAGCAACAAACATACAAGCAATAACAAAACTGTTGGACGCTTCATTTCCTATGCGGTCCGTGTCGCATCAAAGGAAATTTGGCAATCGTTTCCCCCCAGAACTTACTGAATTTTAATTGAATGTACATTTATATACATACATACATGACGGCCTAAACATGCAGGTGTAAAGGCCCTTCGTATAACTGCTGTCGAGCAAACCAGACCTCGGTAATGTTCGCACGCGTTCAGAAAACCATTAATTGTTGTTTATACCAGACCGGAAACGCACGCACTGCCGGAACGAATCCTGCTTAATTGCCTTTAAAAGCGACAAGACTTCCGGAAGACAAGCAGAGGACATAAATTGCGTTCCTCTTTGCTCTCTTGTGCGGACACAATTCTTCCCTGGCGAGTTACCCTGGATATGCACGTACACTGCACGGCTATGAAACTGGGAACTAAGTTCACCATCCTCGTCCCAAAGGCTCGCGTAATCACCAGTCACACCCTGGGACAAACTCCCACACAATTCCTCTAAGACTGGTCTTAATATTATGCTGCCATTCAGGTCTGGGTCTTCCAAAGTGGTCTCTTACCTTCAGGTGCCCTGGAGGACAAAACCCAGTATTGATTCATCTCTCCCATACGTGCTACAAGTCCCACCCATCTCGTTCTCCTTCATTCATTCATTCATTCATTCATTCATCCTAATAGTATTTGGTGAAGGATACACGTTATGACGCTTGTCATGTTGCGCCTAGTAGCTGTACAGCAAACCCTCGCTAATCCGGAGCGCTTGGCGGGAAAGGCCGATCGGATAAAGCGATAATCCGGATTAGTGAAGCAACGACAAAAAATCAGAACATGAATGGAAAATTTAATGATATAAGCACTGCTGATGAAAATAAATAACAAAATATCACTGTGGAGCCCTTATTTAGAAACCATAAAAAGACAATGCATTTATTCGCCGCTAGAAGACCCAGAACTTGTACTCGTTTCTGAACGAAATGATGCAGGTTTGCAGAAACTGTCAAGTTTTGTCTGAACAGACAAGTGACTCATCTGCCTTCCCAAACGCCGTGTGTCTTTTAAAGCATGTACTCAACTGTGAACAGCATTTTTTTATCTTTTATGTTTCGATCAGGATTAGCAAGGGTTTGCTGTGACGAACTATTTCTACCCGCCCAGACACCATCCCACTGCCCCATCCCGTCCCTCGAAGGAACCCCACTTCCGGAGACTGCAGCCAAGTCTAGACGGAGGCAGCAGCAAGCCGAAATCAGACAACATCGATCTGCCAGCCGAACTGTGTCACCATACGGAACTGAAACACCGACGTCACGTGATGACTGGCAGCCCCCACACACTACCGACTGCTTCGCGTCCCAGACGTCCCGGTTTCTGAACAGTGAGACAGCAGGAGGCTACGGCCGCTCGTTTCCAGTCACTCTACCTATGCAGTCGATGAAGCGCCATCAAATAACCCAATGAACTGCGACACTAGAAGGGCCGTGATCTGCGAATCAGAGTAAAGAGGCGCACCCTGAGGAGCTGAAGGCCGTCTCGCGGTGGTAACCAAATTGCTCAGTAATGGGTACTATTGGTCTCGAAGCCACCTCTGCGTTCGGATCGGCACTGAGGCTTACACAACGGCCGGAGCGTCAAGCTATTGCCAATGCTGATATCGGAAGCACACCAACACGTCAAACGTAAGTCGTACTTCAGTAATACAAATAAAAAACTCCGTAGTTTAAGTCCGCAAGCGAACTGTACCGACCGAGCGACCGCCGCTTGTCGACGATGTTAGTGTTTCAGTGATTGCGAAACAAAATTTAAATTAAAGATAAGACATCCTCCACATTCTGTTTCGCGTTTGTCGGGATTTTGCAGTTTCTTTTGAATTTAGATTAAAACTTCATGCGGTCCGATCAAGTACGGTGAAGCTATCCCTGTAACAGGCCACGGAGACCCACAGGGTTGTGAGGCGCCGAGGCTCCTACATTTTCTAGACAATTGGCTCACAGACGGCGATAAGATCAGCCTTATACGCCGGCCGCCCTTTAGCCCCAGGAACATTCCTGGTACTCATTTCTGTTAGAGGCTGAGTCGAACCCAGGGCCATAGCCCGGGTAGAAAAAATTAGATCAATTGTAAAATCCAGTGACCTCGTCGGTAATCGAACCCGCGACCTTCCGGCTTGTAGCATAATGCCTCAACGAACTAATCTACCGCGGTCAGATACGAACCAGATTAAACTCGCTCTCGGCGATGTGCCCTGTGGAACCCCACACAAAATCAGACCG